ACGGTGCGTGGTTAGGATCGCGCTCTTTTCATCGTATTGGAGAGTTGGAGCTACGTGAATTGGGGATTATGGTTGCTTGGCTTCGATGGTACCTTAGTGTAGTAGGTAATAGGCGTCTTCGTGAGTTAGATAATATGGATCTTTATCTCTTAGATGATGTTCTTCGTGTGGTCAATGATAAGCTAGCGTTGGACGTATCCTTTAGGAGTTGGACCGTCCGAGGGGAGGAGCGCAGGTTTTCTTTTATTTCCGTCAGTGTTTTAGCGGTGTTAAGTGTTATAATAGGTATGGAAAGTGAGTTTTTGTTATTGATGGGTTATAGGGGGGGGAGCCCTATAATTCCGGGATCGGATGAAGATAGTATGTCAAGTTAGGTGATAGTTTGTAGTGGCAATAACTAAAGGTTGGTAAGCAGGGAACGGGGACCGTTGGATTAGTCGTGTTACTCCCTCTTACGGGGTTGCACCCTATACTCTATTAAAAGGAATAGAAGGATACTTTAGAAGAAGATAAAGAATAAGAAGAATAGTGATTGCGTATATTTGATTTTATCGTTATTTAGTAGAAAGATAAGATAGAGAGGATTTCGTGGAGAACACCATGGAATACTATGAGTGTACGTGACAGGTGTGCTGGTGATAGCCTCACTTTCTTTTTACTTGAAGTACTCTTCTTCCCCTAACTATACAGTTCTAGTAAATGGGTATGGGGCGAAGCCCCGTACGAAGGAGCATAGCGACTGAGTCAAGCCCAAATTCTTTAGGATAATGAATGAAATGAAATGAAATGAAATAAGGATTGACAATTGATTTCAACCAGTAGAGATACTGGCCATGGATGAACGGAGTGAATTGAAGGAACGGAGTGACTGAGTGGGCAAAGGGAACGGAGTGACATAAGCGGAGCGACCTTCGGACCCAAGGCCCCTCGATGACGATCTCAGGCACTGCTTACGACACGCTCCACCCCTTTTCGCGACACGGCGGCAGTCTACGACATTCTTCCGGCAACATGTCTCGGGGCAGCTCAGTCGAGCCAGATGTCGAAGTTCAGGAACGGTGGCTTCTGCCTTCGCCCTAGGACACACAGGTTTTGGACCAGATCATCGATGGCACCGCTGACAAGGGAGATACGTGTCCTACGACAGCAGTCGACACAAGTGAAGGCCCGCCAGCTTTAGCCTCGCCTCTGCCTGTCTCCTCCCTTTTGTCCCAGTTATCCCCATCGATGTGCGTGGGGTTGCAGTTGGTCCAACCCAACTCTCAGGACACCAGACGCGCTGAAGGAGATATCAACTACCCCGGTACGACTGGCAACGCTTTCTACGACTTGGAAGACTCTGTGACGTCCACCGGGCCATCGCCATTTGGCACGGCACCTGTATCCACGCCCACCACCATCCCACGGCTGCAGGCGCGAACGGACGATCCCATTTCGCCGCTCAGACTCAGACGAACCCGACGTTCATACCTTACCCATAGCACCCCTCAGCGACACAGCGCACGTCTGCGCGCTATATCCCGCAACGCACTAGGTGCCCGTTTTCAACATAAAGCGAACCATGATTCCGACTCAAATGACGGTTCATCGTCTAAAGACGGAAGCGACAACGACGCAAGTTATACAATAAGGTCGATTAATAGCACCGAAGAAAGGAGCAACAATAGCCTAGACGAAGATAATATACCGGCACCAAAACGTCGCAAGTTTTCTTCTCCACAGGTCGCTACAGCTCAACGTCGAACCTTGCGACAATCCTCGACGAGGCTATCAGCGGCCGGTGCTAATACTTATGCCACGGAAAATGCCCGAACTCGTGATATCGCTACCCCATCATCATCCTCCCACTAGTCGTCCGACCGAGACTCTATCGCGGACCGGTCTATCGCCAGGTTTAAGGAGTAGCTATTGCAGGACGTCGCGCTGAAGCGCGTAACAGTGAACGGCGTAGTAACATTTCAGCTCCAGTTCTCATGGGACCGGCGTGCAGACCATCGCCGGGATCACCGCATTGCAGAGACACGAGACCCTTCGTGTTCAGCTAGGAAACGACACAAGAAGAAGCATGCCTCGAGTTCGGGCAGACTATTCACGAAGGATGAAGACCGTTGTCTGATGAGGCTTAAGGAGGAGGATGAACGGTTGTCTTGGACAAAGATTCACGAACTGTTCACGAAGTCCGACCCTGGCCGCACGAAGGGGTCCCTCCAGGTGCACTACTGTACCAAACTCAAAGGAAAGTCTGATAGCCTGATAACGTTGAATTGATGTGATTGTGCGGTATATTACCTACATATGTATGCCTTCCCCTAGGTGATTCTATCCGACGGCTAGACATCCGACGGGGCTACCAATTCACACTAAAGTAATTATGCCAAAGACCAAGGACGGCGCACCTCTGGTCATTCACTTGTCTTTCGATGGACTACTGCTACTAGATGATGTTCCAACCACACAGCAATGCCATTTAATTCATTTCGGGCTTGAAGCTGGGTTCGTTTACAGTTGGACCTGCGATGTCCTCACAAGCCTTTCGTTGCCCTTACTACCGCATTTAAGTATTCACCCAAAAAAGGCCTCGCGTCTTTGGGTCAGGCTTAAGGCATTATTTTGGGATACGGACGAAGTCGATGACGATCAATGTGCTTTTTTTTTAGACGGCGGGCCGGAGTTGGGAGCGGCTGCTGATGCAGCCAGCTTTCATTTGAGGTTTTTTCGTTGCCAGCTTCACAAAGGAATGATTCGAGTGCTGCATGCTCTTACAAGCAAGACACCATATGACCACCCATTTAGTTAATCGACACTATAAGAAGATTAGGAGGAACATCGCCTCTTTGCTGACGAGATGCGAAGATAACAGTAATCTAGGGGGTGTTGAGCTTACTCTGTACGTCTCCTTCACCAGAGACGGAGGCTTCGTTTCGTACGAGTGGCCAATCTGAGCTGGCGTCAGGATATCGAGGCCAAGGTAAGCTCGCCCATCCGTCCTCCATCCGTTTCTGCAACATCTTCTGATAGCTGGTGGTGTGAAGCGCAATGGGCCGCCTGTACATCTTGTGAATCTTGTATCTCTCAAGCTTTTAGCCCGGTGAGTCTTGTTGTTTGGCCTTTCTCTTAATCACATACAGTGAAGAGGAATGTCCAACTTTGAGGCTAAATCAAATAACGATTAAATGTGCAATAATTACATATCTTGCCTAACATCTTACCCTAGAACATCACATCCTAGTATCAGGGCTATCTCAAGGTAGCATATCCTAGGATATGCTCCATCCCAGATTATCCTCCATCCCAGGCTATGTTCCATCCCGGGCTATGCTCCATCCTAGGTGCTTGGGGCCCTGGCGTTCCAATGCCCTCGCTCAGTGACAATGTGATTGGATGTTCTGGGCTCAGCCAATCACTAAACATTGTGTCACGGGAGACTCGGAGCACTGAGGCTCCATAATATCTTTGATTGTTTCCTCCTAAGTCTACGCGCATTGAGGATTTTCACATGTGATCACAAGGGTGCCCGCTATGTGATGTGAAACGAATGGAGGCCGTGCCTTGATCGCCAGTGAAATAACACACCGAGGATAACACCTTGCACCTTGCAGCTTGCACCATTCCTTCATCACGATGCTTCCCGATTAATATTGGTTCCTTCCAGGGTTCTGGCACCCACTCCTTCTGTCCTGTCTATCGGTCGGACAAGCTCGACACCATCTGTAGACCGGGATCGACCCAGTTGTTCCCAGTTTTGTTCGGCCTCTCTGATTCGGATCACTATTATCCAGGCCTCCGTGGCAAGATCGTGGAAACTGTACACAGTTGCCATGATCTTATATGTTAGTATGGCTCTTCTGACAGTTCGAAATGCTTACAGAGGATATGTTGAGTCCAATAAAGGGGCGAATGTTCCAGGCATTGGCTTGGGCCCTCGTTACAGTGCAAGCCACGACCATACCAAGAGTTGATATGGCCTGTATTGAAAGATGGCCTAGCATCTGGCAAATCTTGAGTATATTACCCAATGTGTTACCGCCCGGTCTCCCTCCAGAGCTTCTTTTCTCCTATATGAACAATGTCCATTCGCAGGTCATCTCACGGAATGATGGGGGTTATCCAGATCTATGTACCCGAGGTTGGAGTGCGGGTGCTCGGCAGCGTCTTGCAGTCAGAGGCTATGCTCTCATCTACCAGGTGCGAGGCCTCTTCTCCCTTCCACCTAGACTGGTCGTCATCACGAGTCTACCCCTACACACAGGTGGACATGTTCCCAAAGTAGTGACCCCCTGATTGAACAGACCCATCCATGTGCTTCCCTGCAGGATTGCATGAAAGGTATACCTCACGAGGTGCCAACAAGGCAGACTGAGGAGTGACTCGTCACTGACTCTCAGGCCGTTGCAATTGCCTGTTATGGCAGGTAACAGCAAGAAATCGTTCCACCGTCAGGGGTGAGAGTGAAGGCTGGCGCTTCTCGCTGCGAAGAAAGGGGCGTGGGCCAGTCTCACGGGTTCCAACGGGTTACAGCGATGTCAGGGTGCGAGTGCCCCAGCTTGTGACGTGCTACTCCTGTCGTTCCGCGCGCACCATTATTGCCTCCTTGGTGGCAGACTAAGCCGCTCGATGGCCACTTCGATGGAAGATCCATCATTGGCTGCGCGCGGTATCTGGGCAAGATCAAGACAGTCCTAGTCAGAGTACGGGGTATGCCTTTCGAGGTATAAAGTGACGTTAGCGATTGCACCACCTTTTCCTGTGTACCATTTGCTCTTCTCCTTCTCCTCGCCTTCTCCTCTAGGCCTTCCTTTTCTCCAAGCCATTATGTCCTCCACGATAAGTACTCCCCAGCAATCTCTCATAGAGTCTCCTAAGAGGCTCTAAAGGACACATCCGTTGGCCACCCCTTCAGTCCCATCCCAATCTATATAAGCAGCGATGACGACGGTACTGAAGGTGACAACGATTCTATTGCTTCTAGAGTAGAGAGAGATCTTCGTAATCGACAACACATGGAGCGCGGCACTTGCGATCCTGAGCGTCGCCAGAATATGCGCACCGAGGTCGGCTCACAAAGCCCCAGGACCAACATTAAGCCCCAGAGAAGGTCATATGTAAGGAGTAGACGCTCTCATGATCTCTTCAGCGACAGGGCCATTTACATTTCCAATTTCCCTCAGCCCGTCACCCTTGCCATCTCTACAAACTGGCACACGACAGATAGGGAAATTGACCAAAACACAGACGACGACAAGTCCACTACCGATTCGATGACCACTGTAAATGCGGTCGACGACCCTCGATACCTTGCCGAGGTAGCGGCCAAGATACTTATGGAGCTGGCTGACGCTGCTGAGATGAAACGAATGACATGTTCCCAGCCACCATACACGTCATTCCAATGTGCAACCGAGGGATCCTTCCCAGCATCAGAATGTCCGCACCTTCAACCCTCTGTCGGTGTTTCAACAACTCAGAAAAGAGCAATGCTCGCCGGACGACCTTATTATCCATGGGATCAATTACTTGTGGAAGATCGCGAGAGATGCTCTCGCGCTTGTCGCCGTTTCTCTCTGCTCGATCAGCCGGGTCCGGCTTTTCGGATGATTTTTGAACACCAGCAACAGACATGGACTCCACAGTTACAAATACGAAGTGGGAGAATTGGAAACAAGGTCGCCGTGGAGCCCCCTTTCGCATGCGACTACGGATACAACATATCCATTGGGCGCAATGTGATTATCAGCCGGAATTGCACAATCAACAACGCCGGTCGAGTCACTATCGGGGACAATTGCTTCCTCGGGCCCAACATCTCTATTCTCACGCTTCTACCAACCGACTCCAAGAGCCCCAGGACGAGTCATAACCTGATAACAGCTGCGGAGGTTAGGATTGGGGATGGATGCTGGATAGGAGGCGCGTCCACCATTTGTGCCGGTGTATCGATTGGCCAAGACAGTAGAGTCCTACCTGGCGCTGTTGTGACAGAAGTGAGTACTTGTTCATCACGGTAATAGAACCCGCTAACTCTATTCCCAGCATGTCCTCCCCAACACCACGGTTATTGGAAACCCTGCCAAAGAACTCACAGTCGAGTTTCAAACGGCCTTCAAGTTTGACTTTTCGTTTGGAACGGGAAGAACCAACTGACCATGTACTGAGGTGAAGTTAAAAAGGGATTTCAAGTGATGGAACATGGTTGGATTTCTTATGGATGCCCTTGATCGTGCGGGTTGCTACCATATATTGAGTTAGGACAAGACATGGCCCTACGACATCGCTTACATAAATGCGCCATTCCGAGCGCGACTTAAGGGGTATACGTCATACCTCAACTCATCCTCGTCGGGGTTCCATCCTGGCCCTTTCATACTGCCTACCGTACGCGTTAGCTTCTAGGGCAGGCAGCTGTCTGCCAGTCACCACCCCCCCCCCCCCCCCCCCCCCCTTTCCTCGATGTATGGACTTGACAGCGAGTCCTCGTCCCTACCTTAAGCATTCCGTTGAGTTGACCTCTACCGTCGAGACTGCGCACTGCAGGCTGTTACGTGGGCCTGAGGCCAGCCCCCCTGTCTGGCTGCTTGGCCCGCGTGTCGGGCGATCTGTTTGACATTGCGACTCTCCTTACGCCTCGCTCGCCGTCATCAACGATGGCGAAAAGGTAATAGACCACTATTGAAAGACCCCATCCCTGCTTCGTAAAATACCCTTCGTTCTCCAGTGCCTTTCTGCCGGCCAATCCTCCTCGTCGACTCCTCACAAGCCCGACAACAAGCCGAATACGACTGAAGGCCTACTTGTTCGTTTTGGGTCTGTTGTTACGGCAGAGAGGGATCAAAGGTATCCCATCGCCCCCCTTCCTTCTTGAGAATATGATATGGACCTTTTTAACGGCATACAAGATCCTGCTCGACCGCATTGCCATCAGGGCCTCGCTGTGTCGTCATTCATAGGATCCCTGACGAGTACCCTTTCTTTGGAGGCCAACGACAAGGATATCAGCGATGACGAGATCAAAGATAACAGGGCAAACGACAACGACGACACCAGTACCGATCTCAGTACTAGCGACAACGTCTTGGCACCTGAAGACGCGAGCGACGAATACGATATTGCCGATATCCCACCACTCGACGATGCCTTTGATAGGGATGTGGGTGATCGGAACCCAACCAACGATGGAGAGAAAGCAGACGGAGAGCCCGTTATCTATAACACAAGCACGGACGATGAAGCCCTCAACTTCGACCCGAATGACTGTACCGACGCTTCCAGTACCCTCAATCCCACCATGGTCACTCTCGACAGCCGGGAAAGCATTATCACCGAGATTACTGCACTCCGCGATCGGCTTACTCAACTTGAAGCCAAGATCAACTCAGGCTCTCATATTTTACAAGGCACGAATCCATTAGGGAAACGAAAGCAGATCGCCTCAGTACATCCCTATTCGAAGAAGCTAAAGAAAAACCACTCAGTCAATATCTCAGCAACACGAGCCTACTTGCAGGGGGTCGATGTATCGGAAAGCTGGGTGTATTCATGGCAGCGTGGGCGTGGCGCTCGCTGTTGGGTCAGAGAGGTGGGAGCGGGGAAAAGGGAGGAGGTTGACGGGGGATACCTAATGTGTTTTGGTTCTGACTTGTTCATCGACATTCGAGTGAATGCTGATTGGCTTCCAATCATGGTACGATTCAACCACGACAAGCAAGCTTTCGAGGGGTTTGAGAGCATTGGAGGCCGGACACTTGAGGTTGAGGATATGGTGATGATGCAGCTAATGTGTGGTGGCAGTGGTGAACACGTTGGTTGGATTTTTGAGTAGTCCGTTCAATGTCGTCCATCAGAGTCGATCTCCTACCAGGCTCCGTTCACCTTGTCGTTGTGTTCCTGTCAGAGGTTGGCCGGCCAACCGTGTCATCTTGCAATCTCAGCCACAGCTGTGGCTCCCAGTCGGCGATACGCCTCATGCAGTCACCAGTGGGGTTCATTGAGAGAACATCAAGCCAATCATATCGCGCTGAGACAGGTCCCTACTGAACCTGTCTCGACCGGGCTGAACACAAAAGCACGGGCTATCACTCTCATTGAAGATTTGTAGCCTGGTGCCCGGCTTATTAAGATGCTGGGGTCGCGTTCGGTCTGCCAGCTGGCAATACGAACGTAGTGAGGCAGAATGCAGTACGTACCTGGCCACTCACCGAGCGGCTTTGAGCCAATGAGAAGTGCTGGAAGTGGGGCACCCGTGTTAAATTGGTGCGGTACTTATATCGGGCTCACCTGGAAACGCGAAGTCACGTGCCTTGTCTGAGCCACGATGTACCGCCACGACCCGAGGCTGGCGCCAACAGCTCCTCCATACATGTGATGCGACGTGACGGATCCCCCTACCTTACAACATTATCTCGAAAACGACGCGCCCACTATGGCAGATCGACATTGGTCGCAGATCATCAAGGAGCACCCCATCGGAAAAGGCCTCGAGGCCTTTAATGCTTCATTCAAGTCCATCTGTACGAACCGCGACATTCCCTCCCACCCAGCAGCGCTGGGGAAGCTTGACGACGATGGTAATCCAATCCCACTCCGTGGTCCCACACTGCTGACTCTCAGCAGAACTCCAGAATATTGCCCTTGTCCTTCTCTCGACGTTACAGATTTTGCCGGCGGCACGTCAACTTCAATCTAAGACGAGCGGAAAGCACATCTTCAACGACCTGTTGACCCTCAACGCAGCTGTTGTCTCCGATGACTGCAACTTCGACAGGATCAGGCCCCTCTTAAGCTCAGCGCTTACCGAAGATCCAGACGACGCCCTCCTCTGGGGTCACATGCAACGCAGTTGCCGAGTCCACTCCGCCACCCCGATCGATAGCATCCTCTCTCCAACAAACCCCATAGCTCCGCAACACGAGCGGCTTCGCGAACTCATCTAAGCATCGCAAGTACGTAGACCTTATGCTCAGGGAAGAGCTCGGCAGAATATATATCGGGCTCCCTGGATTCCACGAGGCATATTTCGGAGGTGTAGTCGGTCTTGATACAGCGTCTCAAGCAATATTCCAGAAGTACGAGGAAGGCAATTGCCCTCTCTTTCGCAAGGGGTAGACAGGATAGCCGAACGATGCAAACCAAGACGGCGTACTTAGCTGGTTCGCGGATATCAGCCAAAATCTGGCGGCTTTCGCAGAGTCATTTAGGCCTACTCTAGACCATCGAAGACCGCTAGCACAGCCCAACAAGCCGATCCGAGGTTCTACCGCAGAACGCAAGCTAGACATCGGGTTCGTGAACGATCCCTAGGCAAGAAGCGACTCTCGATGCCGCTAGTCACAGATACTCGTCCCCGGAGAGTTAAAGAGCAACCCATCCACCGACATCGCCTCCAAAGCATAGCTCGACTTAGGGAGGTATGCGAGGGAAGTTCTTACTGCTCAAGATACGCATCGCTTCGTCTTAGGCTTTACCATTTACGGGTCGCTCATAAGGATATAGATATTTAACCGGCTAGGGGGGATCGCATCCGAACAGTTCGATATTAACCAATAGACTGTAATTCGTATTAACGGTCCTTAGGTTCCTCTAGATAGACGAGGAAGAGCTTGGCTTCGACCCTTCGATTACTGCAGAAGATAGCAAACGGGTCATCAAGATCACACGAAACGGCAAAGCAGAGCGACTTATTATTAACAAGTTAATGAAACGCGCGCCCTGCATCGCCGGCCGGGCAACGACATGCTGCAAAGCTTATCGCGAAGAAGACCTATAAACCAAATTCGTGGTCAAGGATTCATGGCAATACCCGGAGCGTGACGAAGAAGGCGAGTTACTCAAGGAGGCAGCTAGCAAGGGTATAATTAACGTCGCTCAGCACTACCACCATGAGAATATAATTATTCGGGGTAAAGTTGACGATATCCGAGGTAATATTCGAAGGGGACAGAACGTTATAGAGGCGAGGAACTATCGGCCGGAACGTTCGGTCATTTCCTGGAGCACAAGTACGACAGGACCTCCACGAACAGGTCGGAGCAGCACCGTAAGCGTGAAGCGGTCATCGAGCCAGACCGGCGCCCCCGTGCCGCCTAGTAAACGGTCTTGCTCGGCATCACCAACAAAGGCAGGCAACGAGTCATCCCTAATCGGATACACAGGCGCGTCATCCTGCGCGACTACGGAACAGCCATCTACAAGGCAAGCTCCCGATCGGTTTTACTTACTGCGCTAGAGGGCTGCGTTAAGGGGCATGAGTCCTTGCACAAAGCAGGCTTACTCCACAGAGACATCTCGATCAGCAATCTCATAGTTAATGAGGACAATACTAACTCCTCTTAGCCATTTTTTTTGATCGACCTAGATCTAGTCATTAAAGAGCATCGTGACGGTGCGTCGGGAGCAAGAGGGAAAACGGGCACAAGAGCGTTCATAGCGATCGGCGCGCTTCTAGGCGAGCAACATTCGTTCATGCACGATCTCGAGTCGTTCTTTTGGGTCTTGTTTTGGATATGCATCCATTATAACGGACCGGATGAGAGCAGAGTCGTCCCGAGATTTGACAAGTAGAACTACGTCGACCCAGAAGAGCTGGCCGGAATGAAGCTGGGCGTTGTGGCAAAGGAGGCAATATTCTTGAAGACAATCACTGATAATGTCACGCAGTACTACGAGCCACTCGTCCCACTTTTAAACGGGTTGCGAACGACTGTCTTCCCTGGAGACAAGCCGTGGGAACAGGAGGACGAAAGGCTCTACTCTCAGATACGACAAAGGTTCCGGGAACAGCGGCACGACTTGGAGTGAAGACTAATTGGAAAGATATTACAACTCGTCCACCGCCGCACGAGACCTTGATGCCCTACGAGCGAAAGCTGGGATAGATCAGGATGTCGAAGCATGCGAAGCTTTGCCAACAGATCCTGGCTGTTGCTTCCGTTGTGTATCGCCCCATCTCATTAAAGGAACTGACTGGCATATCATTGACTCGCTCGCCCGCTTCAGCAACAACAATGCAGCCTCGTAAACAACCATCGGATCTTGCGGCTCCTTCCTGGCTCTTCAGGAGCGCGTAGTGTTTGTCCACAGCACGACGTTCGTGCACTCTAGATTGAAGCTGGTGATGCAATCGACCAAGCAAGCCAAGACAGGCTTAGCCTTAAAGTGGACTCAGCCACAATATGATTGGCTCAAGATACGCATTTTAACCTACAATCATTACTCAGCGAGGCGCCTCGTTATCAATCAGCCACAGCGAATCCCCCGTTGTGGCTGAGGTTCAATATTTCGTACCCCGTTGACACGAGTGTCTCTGAGCAGCCTAATCCAACAAATTGACGCCCAGCAACCAAGGCGACCAGAGTTCACGTGCCCAGTCGCCTACTGCAACGCTCTCTCCGATGTTCCTCAAGACGCGACACGATACAGACTGTGAATGGTATCCGAGAGGGTGGGCTAGACATTATCGTTGAGGACTGTTTGGAGAAATGCAAGCCCCTCTTCCGTTTGGAACGGGTAGTTCTTGTCCGCAAATCTCTCCACCATTCTGCCGATGTCCGCATCATCGGAAGAGAAGGCGCCATCATTTGAGACGGCCAAATTGATGGCTTGCTGGCCCATTGAAGTAATGCACTGGCAAACCAGTTTCATCAAATGGGCTCAGCTGTAGATTTTGCGCTGGAGAAATATCGGGCTCCTGAGGTTCTTGGGCAGGTTCGGGCGGGGTTATTGTCTCCAAGTGGCACCTGGCTGGGTAGGACTTGCAGCCTCAGGCTGCAATGGAAAGAAAGTAAGGTGATTAAAAGCCCGAACAGTCCCACACTGATTAGTGCTCCACCCGTCTTGGGCTTCCCTTTTCCCCATTTCTCTTCCATGGCGGCCAAAACCCACTATATGGTCATCATCTGACTCCTAGCGTTCGTTCCCCTCCTGAAGCCTGTTTTCGCGCTAATGAACCCGCAAACTTGCAGCGTCCACTACCACTGCCTACCCGAGTTCACGAGCAGCCTCCTCAACATGAGGGCGATGTCAAGTCCCCGGAGGATACAACCACACACCGATCCCCAGGCCGATACATAGGCCATCCGCACGCGCTTCCCGCCATCAAGTAAACAGGAAGACGGGCCTTGGCGATACGAAAAAAGGCGTGGAGACGAGCATCAGTGGCACGACGGGCACCGACGACGGGAAGGTAGCAGCCGCGAAAGCGTTGCATCTACAACGCCGAGCTCGATCGTTTCTGCGGCAACTGTGATCCGTTACCTCCCTGTGGCCAGCACGGGGCTCCGGCCATCTCTTGGGACCAGGTCGAACAAGATCCAAAGAACAGGCTTCTTACAGATTCCCTCGCGGCAGAAAAGCAACATCTGGCAAGGCTCGGTGAGTTACACCCATGCGGAACCAGAAAGTCAGCCATCTAAAGGCGCGCAAGGTATGCCTGTCACCAGAGCACGCGCTCTCTGCCCGCTGGAAACGACTCGGGTTGCTGAGGGAGGCGGATACAAGCGCACAGTCGAGAATGCCGGCGAAGGATGATGTCAAAAGATATTGACGGTATGCCCCACAGCCCGCAGAGCGGACATCTCACGTCCCGGCGCACTATGTACCTTTCAGTCGCAAGCAGAACTCTCAATTATGCAGATACTTGTGTAAACACGCTTCATTCTTGCCGTACAGAAGACACATTCGCTACGATGCTTCGCGATAGCGCAGTATCTGACTTCTTAACCCGGTCACCATGGATTACTCTGCTGGTTTGCAGGCCGTCGTAATAGTCCTTCTGGTCGTTAGTGTCTCTGCTGATGTTGCTGGTGACAATGCTTCACGGAGAGGGAAGACTCATATAAACAGCTTAGTCCGTTTCAAGTCGTTCTCAACTCGGCTCAGAATCTCATATCTAGAGTCAGAGAAGGGCAAAACCTCCCAATCTATCTGCTCCTTCACAATGCCCTCAATCTTCTCAATAAGTCCCTCGACTGGGTATGGGCCCAACGTATTTTCCTGGAGACCGGTGAACCCAGCATTCTTCAGCTCCCTCCATGTGTCCGGGTAAGCCAACAAGGGCAAGTCCTTTGCCTCGCCTTGAGCGTCCATGTGGGACAAAAGTTTCCCAGCGGGTTTGGAGTCCGGGCGATCGGACGGGACCTCGGATGGAGGGATCCAAACGAACTCGCGAACCGTCACCGCCCCCCCAGGCGTCAGACGTCCATACATCAGGCGAAGGATTTCATCCCGCTCGGTGATCTTATTGCGCATGTTCACCATACTGACCGTGGCAAGATCGTGATCATCCATCTGCCAACATGGATCAATGACATTCGTAGACAGGGGAGTAGGCTTCTCCAGGCTTCCACCGTAGACGGCTGCTGTCCTGTGAATTATATCTGTCAGATGATGGAACCTGTGGCAGGCAACATCGTAGCTCACATATCGGGCTCGAGTTTCAATTCCTCGACGGGAAATTGCTGCTGACATGTTAACCGCCGTTCCAAATAACAGCCATGATCACATACAGCATCCTGTCGGTTCTTCTTCCTGCTTGGGAGACAGTCTGTGAAGAGAGAGCGGACAGTGGAAAGAATGATATTCGGCAACCAGTAGGGTGCATGGCGGATGAGAGTGGGCACTTTGTCGTTCTCCATTTCGCTTGATGGGCTCTGTTCCATTTCAACGAGTGAAGGAGAGATAATGGACAAGGACGAAGCCGCAGTAGGGACGAAGATATAGGCAGGGACGAGAATGCAGAGAGAACGTGGAGAAGCAATCGGTAGCCGCGATACCTATACTCATTCAAGCCGTCAGCCAGACCGAAAAAGGGAAGGCCATGTCGTCGACACCTTCGCTCCGGCACGGGTGCACCCACGTCAGGCAGATGGCAACCGATTCGCGCCCTTCACGCCAAGGTGGCTCGCACGCTTCCGCTAGTAGGCTTTCTTTTGCTGTGAGCTGGTCGCGGTGCGGGGCCTGGCGGATTGGTACGCCCACCATCAAGCTTACCATCGAGGCAGTACCCCTGCTTCAGGGGTGATCTCATCCGCGGCACCGAAGCCTGCATCCCAGGCCTGCTGGCTCGAAGGACAGGGCTGCAGGGACGCAGCATCCTGTGACCACCACCTCCACAAGCGAGCCGTCGTGAGCCTGCGATCGCCGTGACGAGCCTGGACTACATGAACGTGCCGAGATTGGCTCTCCGACCCCTTCCGCTCTGGGCCGCCGCGGAACACACCATCCTGAGCGGGCGAAGCCTATTCCCCTGTTGACACGTGTGCAGGATGTGATTGTCGAACCGACACCAATAGTATATCTGTCCGCCACTCCCGACAGCCCCTCTATGGGACCACTCCCATTCCCCGCGTGGTCTTCCCATAGCCTTCTTACCTTCCTTTGCGCTCATCTGTCACGTCTTCTTCTCGCATCCACGTTTCACCTCCCCTCCCGTGGCACATCGATTGCCATTCAGAATATCCCTTCATACCGTTGTCCCTCAGTATCGCCCACCCCGTCCTTCGAAATGGCCCGCACCCGCTGGCAAACGGGCAACTCCAAGCCGCGCATCTTCGACACAGTCAACACCGCTTCCGTCAAAAAGCGCAGGAAGACCACCAAGAAGGAGAGGGCCCGTAGTGAGGACGGTCCCGTCCCCGAGGTGCATCTGTTGGACAAGAAGCTCCCATGCCCTTACTGCGACAAGACTTATCGTAAAGTCGATTATCTGTAAGTGTCGTACCGGACATGACGATGAGATGAACTGATCTTGACTTCAGCACCAGCCACCTCCGAAACCATGCACCGAAGCTGATTTACTATTGCAACTTGCCGGGCTGCAGCAAGACTTTTGTCCGACTCGACTTGTGCAAAAGACACACGAATCGCCATGTCGAGAAAGGCTTGGAAAGCAAGGGTTTTACGATGAGACACGTCTCTCCGATCACCGATCGTGATCCCGGTGACAGCGTAGGGTCAGCGTCGCCCGAGACGAACCTCACCGATGCACAGTCTACCGACATGGACGTTCAAATGTATACCGACAATGGTGCATCCCCCCTATCCGCAACCGGCCATCCGCAACCCGATTTGTCTTCCTCCACGGCTCCCTTTGTCGCCACGGAGATAGGCAACCTACCTGACTTCGACAGCCTGGCACCATATCATCCGCAGAACAGGGCCTGCGTCGACGGAAGAGCGGCCAACGTAGCTGCTGACTTTCCCAAGCAGACAAAGTTTAACCCATACTCCTTCATGCCGATATCCTATGACGAGCTCGGCCACGACAATGTCGCAGCGCTAGGTCAGCAAATAGAGCAATATTTCAACTTGTCAACGGGGGATGCCTAGATTGGAGAGCAACTCGCTTGAAGGGGTTTTCCAGATCAATCAGAGCCCTTTTTTATTCCCCTTTCTGTCGCTCAACGTCGGTCGCACTTTCCTTTCGGTATAAGAAATAGAGTCAGCTCGCAACGATAAGTTCTACAAAGACGTTGCCCGCGGAGCCGACGGGCTTTATCATTGTCCTTTTGAGGAAGACGGCAGCTGTCGTCACCAGCCATCTTAGCGGGCCCCGTCAGTCAGCGCCAGACCTCGGGTTCTCGCACTTCGTGATGTTGTCCCAGGACGACACATTGTAGGCCAGCCACAAACGACATCAACAGGTTGCATGGCGACCCACATAATTGGGCCGTTGGCGACGGACGTCAATTTAGAGCACCCCCGCTTGTCTGTGCACTTGGCCAGCGAATCGTGATGGGGAACGTGCGCACGCGCAGCGCCCCAGTCTGTGTTGTGCAAGGCGAATGACAGGGACACGTAGTGTACCGCCGCGACCAACCTGTGCGCGTGCTGCGCGTCTTGTTAAAGGAGGGAAGTCCAGGGGGACAGCACCCGGCCTACGCGGCCCCACGTGCTCCGTACAACCGCCTCACTTTCCGTCTCGGGGTGTTCGCGCCACCGGCGACTGGGTCGACTGTTTGGTGTAGGCGGCCAGCTCGCCAAGGCGCCGAGACTTCTCTGCCCACAACCGGACTCGGGGGTCATCTCCCAGTCTCCACTGTTTCGAATGCAGGCTGCCCTGGGTCGTCGCCAACGGTAAACAACGGTAAAGCGCTCCCTCTTGTCTCGTGCGGGCGGCCTACTTTTTTGCAGCTGACAGGAACGTGACGCAGGGTGGGGCTACCTCCCGCCAGCTGGCCCCACATGTCCAGTCCTCCGTCAGAGCTGGACGCCCTGGACGAGTCGGCGAGCCCAGCACACTGACCGTTCGGGTGTGCCGCGAAGCATCCGGTCGAGGCGCCAAGTCGGCGACCGCACGCAGACCAGGTGCAAGGTTGGCCATGAACGCAAAAGCAATCCTACAACCTCTTTACATTTCCAACGCAGGCGTCATACTAGCCTGAGCGTGGCAGGCGGTGCGGTAAGCTGGCATAGGCTCGGCTGGTGTGACATCGTGCGCCTGGCATCCAACACGCCACCCCAATCAGCTAGTCGCAGGCGCTGTTGCTGCGATCGGCGTCCCTGTAAAGCAATCCTTTACCGGTCTCAGGGTGGCTTGTTGATGGCCAGCTCGAGCCATGGCAAGGGCGGCCGTCGTCCGTGCCGCCCCCTGGTTTGTCACGGGTGCAACTGATATCCCTACCACTCCTTCGTGCCCTCGACCTCGATTCTAAGATCATCAAGACCATTATTGTCTATTTAACAAAGCCTTTACGTCGAATAGCACCTCGAATTGCCCTCACGCCGAAACGCATAACCCCCCCACCCTGGCAAGCCCACGACCATTCTTGAGCTCCCCATCAAAGATACCATGCCCCGAAGACACCATAGCGCTTATACTGTTGAGCAAAGCGACTTCGTTGCATACGTCCGCATCGATCAAGACATCAAGCAAACCGCATGGAAGGAAGTTGGCAAGAGGTTCCGGGAGCAATTTGACGTCAAACGCGTAGACAGTGCCGTACAAGCTCTTTTCCAACGCAGGAAGACGACGATCCCGGACACCGACAGAAAAGGGCGCCTTCAATTCGATGACAGGGATCAAGTACGGATGATTAAAGTCAGCGTAACGACTGACTGGAAAGCTGTCGGCTTGCTCTCAGCATATCCAGAGCGTGCTATCCGGTACTCATGGGTGACTGACAAGGACAAGCAGAAAGTGAAGGAGATTGGTGAGTCCCCGGGGACTGTGGACGCCTATGCAATAAGCTAACGCTTGCTAGGTCTTTTCAGACAACAGCAACTCGATGATGCGACAGAGAGGCAACGGAAGAGACGGAATGAACAGTTTCAGCCCTCCCCTCAAAATTGACATGGCCTCATCTCGAGCCTGAGTGTGGAGGGCGGAAGGGGGTCGGGGGAATACTGTATGGGCAGGATTGAGGTCAAATCACTTCGAGTCATCCTCACATCGATCATCATTCTGTCGCTATAATCCCGTGTCCCCATCTCACATCAAGCCCAGGCGTTGTGCATGGTGATCCAACTGATTGGGCTATGGCGTATTGACATCTATGTTGAGCTCCCCGCTTGTTCGTGCACTTGGCCAGGCCGCGGCGCGGGGACTCCCCCGTTCACAACCATTGGAAGCGAACCCCTCGCATAGCATCCATCAGCCTCCCCTGTTTCGAATGCATGCTGCCCTGCGGTCGTCGCCAGCGTCGAAGACGTTACATCGTTGCTCGTCGGCATGCTGCCTGCTTGTGATGGATCTCGGCTGCGGACGAGGGGCTCTGAGTCTTGAAGCGCTTTGTTGGAGGCAGTCGTGGATCGGGCTATGTTTGCGTGTGGCCGTTAGCTCAAGTCGGATCGTGGACACCTCGCTGTCGACTTACCTGGCCATGAACATGCAACTAAACAGCCGCATTGATGACAGAAACTTGAAAACAGAGGCGGGGACAACTCTCTCATCGGCTCGCACCCGCATGTCCAGAACACCCTCCGCCTGGTTGGGGCTCTTGATCTCTGCTGGGGTATCCGTCGCCGGTGACGTCGGTCGCGCTTCGTCCCTATACTGCGTTAGCACCGTGTCGCACGCCGCCACGGGCGGAAGCCTACGATGAGTGCCGTTGCGCCGCCCAGGCGTCCTTGGCCCCAGTGCCAGCCGTACACCAGAAGCCCCTCTTGCGCATGGCTCGCCAGATCTTGCAGGCTCTGTGGAAGTTTTGCATCATCTTGTCGCACGTCGATTGAAACCCATACAGCTCGCGGCCAAAGGTAATAGAAAGCTTGTGGTCGATGTAAGGATAGGACAGCCAGAGCAAGAGCACTTGCAGCTCTCCCCATACGAAGCGCAGTAATGTTGTGTACGCCCGGGTGGCGGTGAAGGCATCCTGTTTCGTGCCAACGTCGGGCTCTCCTGCTTCTCTTATTCACGTCAGTCGACTGGGAAAACGACAGCCATGGGGACCTACGTTGCGTCATCCCTCGCTGCCTTGGCGTGCTGGGTACTTTTGGCTTGCGGAGAGAAGATCAAGTAGAAGCCCAGCCCGAGGACGACTGCGACGAGAACGCTGATGAGTAGCGCGTATAGGAAGCACATCTGCGTTTGGAGGTTCGTCGCGCTCATGGCGATGATCGACGGCACTTTCAGCAGGAAGCCCTTGAGGAAGGCATTGGGCGCGTCGGATTTCCTGATGGTCCTCTGCATTGGGCCGATTGCTGCCTCCTTCGGTTTGGTTGTTACCTCTGTCAGGTCGGTTGCTGCCTCCGTCAGGTCGACTTTTGCTTCCCTCGGGTCGATTGTTGCCTCGACATCGGTGGCACTCGTGGGAGCTGCATCTTTTCTAAGGGCTTCAAAGGACGTGTAGTCCAAGACCAACTCCACGGAATAATCCCAAAGAGAATCCAAGAAGTAGGGAGTGGCAATCGTGATCCTTTCAACCCAAGCCTCGTTGGTTGATGTGTAGAAAAGGAGGACGAGAGGGAGGAAATGGCCCAGGATACAGATGACGAGAGTCAAGAGGAAAACAAGCAGTGCCAGCATTTGACTCGAAGTCAGGCGGCTACGTTTCTCCTGTCCCCCCAGTAGAGGGGTCGCTTCGTTTGCTGGGGGGTCTTGGGAGTCCATCAGGCATCAGGCAACCATATCGGGCGCGGACCGCGAGGTCCTTGCGGGGGGTGCTCCCTATTTGGCTCACCGACGAGAGCCATCGCGTTTGACCCTGGCACTGGTACAGTCAAGCTGCATCTCGAGGTGGTTCGATGCATCGAATGGAGCAGCAGAACGGTGCAGGGGAGGTGCATCACCCTATTAGGTGTGCAGAGGTAAACGGCAATGTGTTCCTCTCCAAGTGATTACTATACAAAAGCAAAGACAATGCGGTAGTTCTCCCAGTCACCCTTCATGAACGTACGGAGCTTTCACGTCCATTGCAAATCCTCAGATCACTCGCCTCGATCGCTTCTAACAAGGCAACTTTTGTAGCAATATACTGTAAGGAGTCGTCGATGGCCTCTATATGCCAGGTTGCCTCATCGCGGAGCTCTTGGATCAAATCAATGGACAACCCCTCTGTCACCTTCAGGACAGTCTTCCAAGCTTCCCTCTGTATTGATCAGTTATGGTCAGGGCACGAACTCTTTGCCTACTCACGATTGCTTTCTCTACCTGTTGATAATCTCGTCGGGAACGTGGATCACATTGATAGAGCGTTTTGTAGCGGGCTGCCGGATCAATCCAGCGATAAACGTCACCTGGCAGTTCTCCGATTCTCCTGACAGAGCTTCCTGAAAGCTTCGAGAGACAACTCTCGGCCAGATCGTTAACCTGGGAGGGGGAATATTCGGGAAAATCAAAGAGATGACGGATGAATGTTGTGGCCGTGGACACCTGTCGCGAAGGTAGCGCCCTGTTTTGCGCACGACTGACCGGCCCCACGAATTGTGGTATTCTGTGGTGCGTGGCGGCCAGCCTGTCGAGTTTTCGGCTTGTGTTCGGAGCAATTCCCATGTCGAAGATATTCTTGACGCACGATTGCGATCTCTTGCAGGAAGGCAACCACGTAGGGTGTGCATGCGTCCTGCAGTTATATGCCTGGACCGTCTGGGGCCCCGCTGACTCGGCCCGCGGGCACGAATCCTGGATGTGTCAGTGGAGAAAGGGGCGTCCAGCCCGGTGTGATCGGAGGGATGAGCTGACTTTCATGCTCGCCTTCGCACACCACACGGACGCGAGACTAGCCCTGGCCATTGAGACAATCTGGATATCGTTACTAGCGGCTCGATTCGATAGCGAGCGGCCTCAAGGAAGAACAGGGATCGGACCAATTATAATATATTACAAAGACCTAGCAGTCATGGTGATCATTGCAGCCGAGTACAACTAGATATCACCCGCTTCCCCATTTCGTATCTACGCCGAACGTCCAGCTGAGATCGTGATAATCGATCCCTACATTTAGGACATTGCTCCTTCCTTATATTGTATGAGGACCCAGCTGCACATGATGTTGAATCCTGACCCAATTAGCTGGGCTTGTCAGCAACACCAGTGTGTACCTACTTTGTTCAGGGGGTTGAGCGGAGTGTATGGAGCTTCGTGCAGAAAGTGGGAGGGAGATGAGATGGACGTTCACCGATGATGGCGAGGCTGTCTAATAAATTATGCATGCCAAGGGCCTCGCAGCAGCGATGGGAAGCTGAAGCTTACATGACCTCAGCTCGTGACAGCGATGACGAGGTGATGCCGGACTGGGTGTCTTCTCCGATAGGAGGCGTGGGGGCTGCTCCTGTGTCTCGGAGGATATCGCTGTAGGAGACTTGCGGCACTAGATGGCAGACTGCGTGTCCTTGATGGTCTGTCTCATCGAGTCGACGGGTGAAAGCTTGGGGTGAGGTCAAATCAATGCCATCGACGGCTTAACCCCTGTCAAGAGGTGCAGGTCGCAGGGTTTAGCGCTCCTTATCACGGATTAGCTTTCCTTGGCTTTCGTACAAATTCGTTTCCAAGGTGCCCCAGAGTGCCCCAGTGCCTTGCAGGGTTGTATTGAGACATGCGCCATGCCAGTCTCGGCTCGGCCTGTTCTCGTACCGGGACACAAAAATGATCAGAAAGCGACTACTTGCCGTTCGTCTCTCTCTAGACTTCTTTCCCACGCAAGAGACGGCCATGCTATGGGCAAATAAACCTTACGCATCCGTCATGAGCGCAGGCTACATTAAACAGCTAGAGCAACTTCAATTCGTCTATGGGACTGCTCTCATCATGGTGAATCCTTTGGATGGTCTCCACTCCCAACGGGCGGGCACCCCAGCGCCCTAGCGCGCCTGAACAAGCAATGTCCAAGGAAGAGGCTGGGATTCTGAAAATCCCACAACATACCCATTTCCCAACTCCACATATATAATCCAGTTCGTGCGCCAGTGTCGAATCGCAGCCGTGGGACTTCAAAAGTCCCAAGGTCTAGTCGTAACTTGGGATTTTCAGAATCCCACCGTCCTCGATTGACTAACGGACGGTTTTGGTTTCGCCATGCCGCTCGAAGAAGATCCACATTTCCAGGCGTGTAACCCGAGCACCGTGCGCTATGTTATTCGTACTGACTTTCCAGTCTCTCCGATGGCTCGCGCGTCAGCACCCGGCTGTCAAACGCAGCATTGTTAGGGATTGCCAAGACCTAGTTCTCAGGGACAACGAAACGTTTGTTAACGAGTATGAAGCGTCACCAAACACCTGGCAACCCTGGCCTGAGAATGATTCACTACCACTCAGTATTGCCTTCGACACCACAGACCTCCCCATCCGCCCAATCGTTGTCCTGCATTTGTTCTACTGCTACGATGCGAGTGACAAACAGCTGGAAACCTTCCACGAGGACCTTCGTGATCTCGGCTACGGAGTCAAGATTGAGCGACTCAGGACCGTTCTTAGAGAAGGCAAGGCGTATGCGGAACTGGCGAAGAAACTGCCAGTGGAGTGGTCTCCCTTCGACCTTCCTGCAGACCGGTCGCCGACCAGGCAAGTAAACCACCCGAATGCTTGCACTTCGCTGACGAACTGCACAGTTTTACGAAACTAAGCAAGACTGAGATACCGCGCTTGGTGGGATTGCTTCGGCTTACGTGTCGTGGTAGCCCGGCTAAGAGGACGATGGCCGCTACTGTTGGTAAAGCTGTGGGAAAGCACATGGAATGTGTGAAGGGCAACCCGGTTGAGCAGGCGGTTCAACGCAAGCGTAGAGAGAGAGCAGGGTCGAACTCATCCGCATCGCCAACCAAGAGACAACGGCGTGGCTGCCCGAGGTTCCCTCCTGAGGTAATCACGTTGTCAACTGGGCTCCTGACCATGAGCTAACATGTGCCCGCGACAGATTGTTCACTCTAGAGAGGGGTTCGCTCCACCATCAATAACAAGTGGCCCAGTGTCGGCAGCGCCCCCCGGCGATCGTCAGAAACCTGACATTCCAACCGTGAGTAGGCTCTCTAGGCCCAGACCTTCGCGTTGGTGACAGCTAACGTCCAGTCAAGATACCATCCACACAGCGAATCCAAGAACAGAGTACATATCCTATCATCTACCATCCAGGGATTGAAACCCTACCCAGGAACATCACACGAGCCCAACCCGAGATGTGGCCCAGCGGGGGCTCTCCAGAAGACAGAGCGATCGAGGCAGTACCAAATCCAGAGAGAGAATGTTCGCCATCTGCTTCGTTTCCCCCGCAAATGCAGCCCTCAGACAACACATTGCAGGATCATGGAAGTGGTGTTGTTTCTGGCACCATGGGAACACATGGTGTCGGAGACGGAACAGATTTCCCTGTCGATGAAATACCTGACGCCTCGCACACAGCAGACCAGTTTTGTGACCTGTATGGACTCACTGAGCCTTCGCAGCGCGCCCATCCCGATATACCAACACAAGCACTTTGGTTCTCCTCGGATCCGTTCGAAATGCACCACCTGGCCGAACAAAGTGGAAGTCACCAGCCTGATCAGCTAGTGTTTTACTGAAGGCCGCAACAGGGTCTCGACACTCGATTGTTGGATTGGCGGGGCTAGGATGTATGATGACGAGAATGGCCATCTGATGCTCCCTCAGAGGAAACCAGTCGCAGGGTTCTAGAATAAAAGGGATCTTGATCATGTCCCCAAGGCATAAGCCGTGCTCGAGAAGAAACTTGGTGATTTCGAGGAACTCCCGCCGTCAGCCAGATACTCCTACACGCTTGTTGGTGCGTACGCACAGGGACTGGCGCCACGATGCCCTCTCTGATGAATTGTATAGCTTCATCCAGAATCGGCCAGAGAGAAAAGACCTCTCGTAGAAGTCTTCTGGCTGGGCAAAGCCCATATGCTTCTGAGGCTGTATCTCTGAGTTTCTGACATTCCAAATTCATCGGAAGACTGAGGCTCGAGGTTGCCGCTGGGAACGGATTTTTGTCGATATGGCGATCATCGGCAGGAGAGTTATCGATGGCGGGAGGGTCGTTGTTGTCATCGGCAGGGCGATCGGCAGGATCGTGGGTAAGTTTGTCGGTAGTAGATCCATCTTTCGGAGGGCCATCGGCAAGGGGCCCATCGATAACTGTTCGAAGCCATTCATGCATGATTGACGGGGAGAATTACAGCACGCATGGAGGGACGGAGTCAGATTTCTCGCAAATGTTGAGCCCCACTTCCCGCTGCGGGCCCAACGCCACATTATTCCTGCGCCACAGTGGCTCATTAACTCCGTCTCTGGAAATCGGCCATCAACTATGGTCCTTCACCGTCCTTCGTTTCCTCTGCGTCTGCAATGTCGTCGATGGGGTAGGAATCGCCATCATCGTCCTTTCCCTGTTCATTCTGACCTGTCTGGGAGTGTTCTTCGTTCGAGGACATGATGGAGGGTTTTTAATATGTGCCAGGGGATACTGTTTAGGCTGAGAAGCTCTTGATAATTGAAATGGGTCTTACCGAAAGGCAGCGATAATAGATCGAAGATATTTTGTCATGGAGTGAAGAAGAGTTATTGTTACAACGAACTCCTGGGGTTCCGTAGGACTCCAGATTTATATCCTTCAAGCTTCCAGAAGTTTGCAGTCTGGCAGGTAGTGTGCACTGTTGAGCTTGGCAAGCTTCTTGATGGTTCAGCTACAATTCGTAGACAAGGATCGGGCAGGTCTCCGGTAACCGCGGTGGTGTCGTACGTGGCCCTCCTATTTTGTGTTATCATGAAGTGCATGTCATCTACGGACCAGGCATCTCTGCTTGCATGTCATCTTGCAGGTCTCGTGAAGCCTTCAATGCGTGTGGCTGTCGCTGAGTCTGAATGTGATTTCACCCCCCGACGACGATGCAAAGGCCGGCTACTGGCCGCAGGGTCGTATAAGGGGGTCGACCGGCCGCGTCCTTGGAGAGACCGTGGAGAGATTGGGTGTTCTGGTCACGAAGTACGTAGCTTTTGAGGCCAGGCCTCAACTATCCTCCCTTACCACCACCGCGGCTACCTGATCGTTCGCCAGCGGTTCGACCGGCTGGCTTCACGTGAGCGTTCTAGCAGTGAATCCAACCAACACTGCAACTAGTTCCCGCAGAGCGTGTAAGTCCACGAGGAGACCAGTAAATCTTCTCGGGTCTGTGATGCGCACCAAACTGTTAACTTTGCACCATGTAGATGGCGCCTCCAGGTTTGTATACAACGTCAGCGGTCCGTCCTGCAGCCCATCGGACGCCGCATACGCAGGCCCGTAGGTCAAAATGTGCAGGCCATCGCTTGGTGAACTGGGATTGTATGCAGCTTGTCTGACATTGTTCCGCAACTAACGAAAATATCCTAGACAACTGGCTTTGTGATACTCATCGAACTACCTTGCCAGCAACGCCTGCAGGTCGCCGCGATCGCTTTCACCTCGTATAGGCCACGGCCTGCACCGACCAGCAGTAATTATGCAGGTTATTCACGCAGTGATCATGTCTGCAGATTGAACCTCATCACCACGAGGGCCCGGCTGTGCGGAGAGGCGCATGGGCGAGGAAGACTAAGCTAGCGGCTTGCTTCCGGCTGGGCGATACAGAAGGCGCCTCGACCCAACAACCGTCTTTCTATCACCCGAAAGACCTGGCCGGTCTCAAGTCGGCCAAGTGGCTCTTTTACAGCCGGGATGGCGACTGTCATTGTGTCTCGCCCCCGAGTTGAGCATCACGAATTCAAGCCGACGCAAACAGCATGCCGCAGGCTGATAATTAGACCATCTGGAAAATTGACTGATTAAGGCTCAAATAATGCGATTATGTGCTTGGTAAGAGCCCTCCATGCTTGAGTTGTCCCAGCCGAACATACGTCCCTTGGTAAGTCGATACAACTGAAAGCGGAACAATTAACGAGCTTAGTCATCATGACTTTCCCTTTCTGCTTTCCCCCATCTGCTTTCCCTCCTGCTTTCCCTCCTGCTTTCCCTTCTGCTTTCCCTCCTGCTTCCCCTCCTGCTCTCCTGCTTTCCCCCTCCTGCTTTCCCTCCTGCTTTCCCTCCTGCTCGCTCTCATCGGCGCCTTCCTGCTTTCCCGTCATGGAGCGCCCTGACATGGAGAGCCACGTCGCGGAGGAATTCTACAAGTCCTGGGACGATGGAGGCCGAAATTTAGAGGGAGTCTTCAAACTTGCGCGAGATAAGGTCGCCTCGACATTGTCGCTCGCTGACTACACCGGAAAGTTCAAATCGACTGTGGAATGTGTTTTCGGGGGAGGCAACTTTCATGCGGTCGTGTGGCCGTTGCTGGCGGGTGAACCTCGTCCACAAGATGTCAAGATTTTTATCGTGGCCTGTTTAATGCAGAAACAGACTCGCGATAAACTAGCCAAAAAGCACCGCGATGTTCACAAGGCTTTTCGAGCGATCTCTTTGCCAATCCTGATCTCCGAGGACGTCCTTCGAAAGTGCATTGAGATCATCAAAGAGTCTGCCCAAAAGAGCAACATTTCTCTGGCGCTTGGTAAGTTGCATGACACGACTCTGCGGGGTTTGGGCTGATGTTAGGCAGATAAAGCCCTGGAGGAGGAACTGGAAGGCCACCGTGATAAGGTACTCGAAAAAAATCTCAAAAGGCGACGAGAAGACGGGATCACGGAGTGGGGCCTCTACTGCAGGTTGGTCAACCCGCAAATTCGAGCTCTGATTATCCATGGTACGTTAGAAGATGATGCCACATCACCATTTCCACTACAAGTGACCGTTGGTTAATTGAATGTTTTCTAGAGGGAGCCGACTACTTCGCGCCACGCGAGCCTGATTTTGCGGTTGACCATTCGACGGATGGAGCCTTGCACCCTCTTGAGCAGACACTCGAACAAGACGGGAACGAGAATTCTCACGATGAACGTAGCCGCAAACGTCGATGCCTCAGTCATCAAACAGAGGGGCTTCGACAAGGCGGCGAAGGGGACTACGAACTGGACCAATCCATGGCCAGTGGAGGGCTATTGGGCGTGCTTGATTTCTACCTCAACGCCTTTATCTTCAATGGATTAGAGGAGAGCTGTGTGAGAGCCGAGGAGGGTAATTTGGTGGACATTACGGCGCATGTCTTACTAAGTCTGCCACGAAACGGAGAGGTGAACTTCAAGCTGTTCGTCTCCTTGTCTGCGAAGGTAGGGAACGAGGTGGCACAGGCAAAGGCAGACGGGATTCGGAATCTGCGACGCAAGTTTGGTTCATGGCTCTCGGAAGCGACAGGTCTGAGACACCCCGCTAGCCTCAACCAAGGTGTTGACAACCTCCACGCAGTCGAAGCTTCCCATATAGCTGCGGCTGCTGCTGTCCAGGTATTTCCACACAAAAACGGCCTCGATAGTATGCTCCAGATGACACTCCTTCCCGATATGGGGTGGTTTTTGATGGAAAATGTATTTAGCCAGTGGGCCTAGTCCTAAGTCAAAGCCGGACTAAAGAAGCAATACATGTCATTGATGGCCACAAGGTACCCTTCCTCAATCACAGCGCTTCCATCCTTTTTACAAGGCTGAGGGTGGCGATTGACATTACCTGGCGGCCCTATCCAGATACCACCAGTTCCACTCTTCCATTCTATAGTTGTGTCCTGTTTGACAGGGCCCAATGTATCCGATTTGATCAAGGTGAATTTGTCCTGTGGTCCATGCTTGTCAGCGATTGGATGATGATCTGACAACTTTTCATTGCTTACATCCATGACTACCGTCGCTTTGTGGAGGGCCTCGACCTTCAGGTGGAAGGAACCAGTGCCTTACAACGTCAGATCAGGGTGAAAGTGAACACTTTGTCTTGTCAAAGCTGCGTCTGGGCGGGTGGGGATTCGAGGCGTTTTCGGGACGACTCGTTGACAGGTGCTGGAGTCTTCTCGCGTCAGAGTAAGGAGGGGTAACATGACCACGTGGGGGATGCGGCACTTATATTAAATAAATTGGGCAGCGATGCTTTCGTCAGGCGTCGGAGGTTTGTGGAATGGGGAGTTGGCGAAGAAGTAGAGTCATGGCGACGAAGGTCTGCGCAGAAAGAAAGGCTGCGAAGGCTGACACGATGACAGTTCGCGCAAAGGCAGATTTTCAAGCCGCAGCGTCAAAGTCAAGACTCGAGGTTCGCCTAAGGCTACCCCACATCAAGACAAGGATTCGTGATACTCCGCATGAATCATTTTCCGAAGGTTGTCGGTCAACAGTGGCGAATCAATGACTGAGTCAGACTTCGGTCTTAATCGGCTTGAGACGGCACCTGGCATTTCATGGGAAATGTGGTACATGTGACATTGTTGTGAGTGCGCTGCGCCTGGCCCTCTGGAGTTATCGTCGTCAATTCGCGGCGGTGTAGGTTCGGAATCGTCGGGTCATCGACGCGACCTGGGAGAACTTACCACACGTTAGACAAGCAACCAGCATAGTAAAAATACTCACATTGCAGCAGGGGCGCATCCGAGGTGGGATGACGGGATCAACGTTGCCAAAACACGATCAATCGAGCCCTGGCCACATCATTGGAGCCTCAACAACCCAAGGCGCTGACAATATGGAGCCTTGGTGCTGGTGCAAGGCTGTCGCGCGCTCTGCCTGGTGCGCACGGGCCTGTCGCTCGATCGTTGAGAATGAAAAGGACAGTGGGGGCGCTCCATCTGGCCGTGTCGGTGTATAGCCAATCATGGGCCCGGGCTAGTGCTTGGAGTGCACGGACTCGGTTTGTGACCAGACGGGTCGCTCCAAGGCCAGACGTCCGTACGGCCTGTGAAGCTCACGTAGAGTGGACCGTGGGGACGATCTGGGGAGATGTCGCCCCACAGCCAAGACAGCACAGATTGGCCATGCTGCAGACAATCGACAGACGACCGACAAGGATGGGTGAGCCTACGATTGCCCTGCCCTGTGGTAAACGGATGACTTCTCATTCGCTGCGCCATCGCCACCACCAGCTCGGCGGCCTTGCGCGATCCCAGAGCGTCCACGAGCCCCCCCTTTGGGCAGCCTTCCTTTTGCCGAGGGCGGTACGGAATTCGGATAGGTGCATGCTTGTACGACGGCTTCTGCATGTTGCACCCACGATTCTGCCGGTCCAAGATGCGAAACCGCTTGGCCTTCTCCTGACGAAGGTGGACGGAGGCTGGAACCACTCGTTTGACCGGACCCTCGTCCCACTTCCCAGCTGAGAAAAACTCGCCTTGAGCAGTCGAGAAACATCCCTCGTTGGGATGCGGACTCCCGTGTTTGCTCGTGTCATCATTGGTGCGGCGGCCTGCATCTTCCTCGGCTTGTACACGTTGTTCCACTCCTGCCCCTGATCCACTGACCTGCCCAACGTCCCTTTTTTCTGTCCTCCTTTTCTTCATCTATTACAAGCCTACCTTTGTTTGCAACGGCCCCTCTAAGCCTTCGTTCCATCGCTTGTCAAGCCGGTTCATCATTGAGCTTCTTGCTTGCTCTCTCATACGCGTCCAAAATGTGGTCCGATCATCCCGTCCGAACCAAACGCCTTAGCCGGGGTACAACCCCTGGCGCAAAGCTAGAGCCCGTGCACTTATCTGATGGAGGGTGCATACAGACTGGAGGGAAAAGAAATCATGCGCCGATCTGGATACACGCTCGACTGACGTGGTTTGTTGCCCTCGAAAGGCCGCGGAAGCGTTGCGGCTGCCGGCCTGGTGGCTTGCCCCTGCGGACGTCAGCCAATGATTGGCTTTGAGCCACCTCCTCAGGTACTGACCTTCCGAATCCCCGGGGGCATGGGCTTGTCAGTATCCCATAATACTTGTTGCTGACCGGTGTAAGCCGCCATGAGTGCTAATCTCGTCAACAGAGTATATAGGGCGCGTGGTCCTCCTCGCCGGCGTTCGTTATCTTGGCCTTGGCTTTTGACAAGCACCTCAGAGAGTCGTCACCCGAGAGCTTTTGTGGTCTTGTCTTGTCTTTCTGATATTCTACAGCATCAGTACTTTGTACACAATGGCGTTCTCCCCTGAGGACCACTGGTCGCAACAACAGCAGCAGCAACCGCAGCATTACTCCGGATATCCTATGATAGAGCCGTCTGTCTTCCCTCAGTACGCCCCGCAGCGGACGCAGTATGATCCCAAGACAAACCAGTATGACCCGAGGACCGTCGTCACCTCCGGTCCCCTCGTCGCCCCTCATATGGCTCCTCACTACGTGACGGCACCCGCCTATGGTGTATCACCCGTATCGAACATGGAACCTCACTTCCCCGTCCAGGCCCACTACATCTATGGCCAGTACGACCAGCCGGCGGGCCACCTGGCCATGCCTTACTCTCGCATGAGCCCCCAACAAGAGCGCCTCGGTCTCCCCATGTTGCCCCAGATTCCCCAGCAGCCCATCCAAGGACACCAGCGTCAACAACGGAGCCTTTCTGCCGCCGGGAGTGCTCCCAAGACGCCAGACCCTATGAACACGAAGGAGATCACCTACAACAAACCTGTCATGACAGACGATGTCGTCTTCACTACCCCTATCGATGTCATGATGAAGGCCCTCCAGAAGAGGAAGGACAAGGAAGACCTCGCCAGCAGCAACTCTTCAGAGGCTGGTGCCTGCAGCGTCAAGTCCGAGCCGTTTTCGCCCCATCCGGTATGTTCCATGCACCACGACGAGATTGACAGAGACTAACATTCTTCTAGTCTGCCACTGAATGCAGCCAGGAGGCCACCGACAAGGCGAAGAAATACAGGTGTCCCTACGATGGCTGCCCCAAGAGCTTCCAGCAGAGCACGCATCTGGAAACCCACAAGCGTGCTCACACTGGCGACAAGCCTTACGTAAGTGCTCCCTCGTGTTGGACGATCACAAGCCAAATCCAGACGGTCCGAGAACCGTTATTACCTCTGGCGGCATACTAACATGCACCAGAAATGCGAGTGGCATGGGTGTGGACGTCGATTTTCACAGCCTGGAAACCTCAAGACACACACCCGCCTTCACACAGGCGAGCGCCCTTTCGAGTGCGAGATGTGCGGGGCCTGCTTTGCCCAACGCGGCAACCTGACGGCACACAAGGAGACGCACAGCAAGACCAAGCCTTTCATCTGCAAGCTTGACAACTGCAACAAGTGCTTCACGACCCGAGGAAACCTCAAGGTAAATCGATCGTATCGATTTAGGATATGCTCTTCTGATGAACTGCACAGAACCACCAGAACAAGTACCACAAGGACACCATTGGTCGGCTCGTGGACTGGATCATCTCTCTTACGGACGTCGACGCGTTGTCGCCCAAAGACCGCGACCTGCTCTGGTACTTTTCCAACATCTATAAGAACAGCAACAAGGGCATCAAGGGTCGTGGCCGAGACCGCCGGGTCAGCGAGGTCCGTATGGGCAAGACGAAGCTCTCCTCGCCCGGCATGGGCCTCCCCCGATCAAAGATGCTCGACTCGTCCTTCTCCCGCCTGGGACTGGGCTTCTGAGCGACGAACATGGAATGACGAGGGGTTGTTTTGTTACAGTTTGGGTTTCTTTGGTCTGCTGGCTTTGGAGCCTCGGTGCGGCGAGAAGGGTGTACATTTGAATCGAATGAGAAGACTGAATGAATGCCTAGCTTAGTGCACACGTGCAGAAGATGCTCCCACGCTTTGTGCCTGTCTCAACTACGGTTCGACACCAACACCGGTGATGACGTCCCGCATCATGGTTTGGATCAGGTTGGCAATGTCACTCAGGCACTGCCGCGGAGAACAATGACCAAGGCTGCACTGACAGGGACTGGTCCGAAGATCTCCATGGCCTCTAGCCTCAAGAATAACGCCAGGACCTAAGTAGCGTGCGATGCTTGTTAGGATCCCTCAAGCTGCTCACTCGGGAAGTGCAAAGAGGCGGTCTCTGGCTGTCCGAAGAGGATGGCCGCCAGGAGATGCCAGAGAGGTGTGAACGCAGACTACGACTGCCGCCTCGGGCGGGCGGCCAGCACAGGCTTCGGCATCCGCACATCCAAGGAGTAGGAAGCACAGAGGTCTAGAGATCATGACCTGGAAACGAAGACAGGAGGCGGAAGGGTTGAAGGGGAATGCAAGGACCCCCAATCGACCCTTCGGCAGACCACATCTGGCGAATCATTTCGGACCTTTCCCCCTTGCACAGCGGCTGGTTCAAGGCAACCACGCCGGTGCCGCCTGCGTTAAGGTGGAGAAACGGGCGTCAACGTGCAAGTCCCTCTTAGCAGGCCCCCCTAATCCATGGGCCGCGGGAACATATAACCTACTTGGGGACCCGGAGGACCATCTTTGGCTTCTTCAGCTTCAACTCTTGCAGTTGCACTGTAGTGTGGTCCCGATGCAGATCAGAACGGTGATCTTGGCTTATCGGCCGCGGAACTCTCCTCAACCAAAGCCCCCAGTTATCATTTGTCATGTTTGTGGGTGTCAAACCGAAGACCAATGGCCTTCGTACTTCAAGCACTTCATCCATTTTCATCCCGACCTCATTCATACCGAGAGGAGTGTCAGTAGAGTCGAAGTGGCAGAAAACCTCTACAAAGAGCGGGCCACCGGGGAACCTTTCGGACTAAGTAATCGCCACAAGATCTTAAAGATAACCCATGGCCAGGGCTCCAAGGCTCATGTACACCAGTCAGACATCATCTGAAGCCGCTCGATCTGGTTACTCTTTGAACGATGCCTCTCAGCAGAAGCAGGACGCGAGGACCATTGTCACGAAGAAGGAAAACAACCACAACGAATTCATCAAACTTGGTCAAGGTGGAGAGCAAGTGTATCGAAGCCTGTGACTTCCTGGG